CTCTGGTGAGACCCCACCTGGAGTACTGTGTTCAGCTCTGGGGCCTCCAACATAAGAAGGACACGGACCTGTTGGAGCAGGTCCACGCTCCATCAAGAGGGCCACGAAGATGATCAGAGGGCTGGAGCATCTGTCCTATGAAGACAGGCTGAGAGAGTTGGGGTTGTTCAGCCTAGAGAAGAGAAGGCTTTGGGGAGACCTTCTAGCAGCCTTCCAGTACCTGAAGGGGGCCTACAAGAAAGCTGGAGAGGGACTTTTTACAAGGGCATGTAGTGATAGGACAAGGGGTAATGGCTTTAAATTGAAAGAGGGTAGATTTAGATTAGATATAAGGAAGAAATTCTTCACTATGAGGATGGTGAAGCACTGGAACAGGTTGCCCAGAGAAGTTTTGGACTTCTGCAGAACCAACAAAAGAAATCCATTATGTATAGACATTCATATAAACCACATCAGCACATCAGCAAATTAACTGGTATTGTTTGCAATTCATTCAAAAGATGCAACTGCTCACGGCAAAAGCTACATGTTTCTCCTTCAGATGAAAACAGTTAAAGGCCATATTATGCCCACAGTCATTAATACCTCAAAATGTTCCTGACAGTTTTCCATTACTGTGAAATGTGAAATCCATTATCTGCTTGATTATTTTAGACAGCAAGGAAACTGCACGGGGAGTATTTGAAAATGTTACAAGTATGTGTAATCATGTGGCTTGAACTTTGATAACCTCATTTGCAACTCTTAAGTCTGATAATAAACTTTGGAGACAGTACTCTGCCTACAAGCTAATGGAAAAAAAGAGCTTCTAGCTAATTACCCAAATCTATACTACATCCTTCAAAAACTACTTAACAGATGTGATCACTTAATCTTGAAGGTTGTACAACAAAAGGTTTCAATCACTTTTCTTCAACTGCCAAAAGAATTAAAGGAGACATTTCATTTTGTCAACCCTGAACACATGGAAATCCTGAGGCATGTTCCCACATGATTATCTTGTAACCTGCAACTGAAAGGAACTTAAAACATTTCCCAGCTATTAGGTGTTATTTTTATACATTAAATAAGGATTCCCCACTGCAATTTTTAAGGATCATAATGATGAAGATAATGGACAGATGCTTTCAATGACTTATTGCCACTCATATTTACTTCATAATTGCTATATTTTTTAGGACAGAGTCATACACCTGCATGTATTGGAGGTACTGAAATTCATGACAATATATTAATGAAAAGGTAAATAACAAGGAAGTGTGGAGAATAATTTATTTGGTCATGTGTATTGTTACATAATTGCTCATCACAGCAAAAGATTTTTGATGGAAAAGAATTTCTAATTTTGATAGTTATTAACCTCTCAAATACCTGACTTTAAAGTTCGATTTCAACAAAGTTAGACACTCAGGCTTTCTGACCCTCCTCCTTCCAAACCCCAGCTTTTCAGGAAGTGCACGTTATAGAACTCTTGAGAGAATACTGATTGTTAATTTTTTTATTTGGGGAATACTTAGTCTTCAGTGATTCAGTAAAGCATGAAAACATGACTGAATGTTTTAGAAGGTTCTTTCCTTTCCTTTTCTTTCCTTTTTTTTTTTTAGGATATAGCCTAATAGTCTCTGAACATCTCTCAATGTTTTAGAAGGTTCTTTCCTTTCCTTTTCTTTCCTTTTTTTTTTTTAGGATATAGCCTAATAGTCTCTGAAAATCTCTCAATTTCTTAAAATTTCTGTAATGAATTGTACCAATTTCTATTTCAAATACACCCCTGAGAAGAATATTCTCCTTAGACAGACTTCAGAAATCATTTTAATAGCGATCCTTTTAGGTCTTCAGATTAAAGCTAACTTTAATCCCACATTTAAAGTGTTTTATTAATTCATTTTAAAATTAAAGAAAAATATTTCAAAGCTAAACATTATCTAGAATAATACAATTTATGGTAAACAATTAGTGTATTTGATGCCAATAGAAATAATGATGCCGAAATACTAAGGAGACATACGGTTTTCTTTGTCGAAGCAAAGTAGCTAAATGTTCTGCAGACTGGACATTCCATAGATAAAAGGAATCCTTGAAGCTGTGTGTACAGGGGTGGAATGGATAAGGAAGTTATGCTGAAATCAGCTGCTGCAACTAGGTGAAAAGACTGAGTTCAATTAGCGGACACAGTGAGGAAGACTATCGACGACCACCAGAGGACCCTGGAAGACCACCAATGAACATAAGAGCGCATGCGTTAAAGACTTTTGCATATGTTAATGAGTTCCAAGAAATAACATGAATATGCTAATCATTTCTCAGAAATCTAATGAATATGTATATTCTGATTGTACATAACTCCCATAGTTGAGCAGCCCGGTGCGCACACTAG